AGGCAGCTCAGCAGTAATGCAATGGGACTCACGGGGAGGTCGCTGGTTCGTGTCCCAGGGCCTCCCTCCACATGCCTGGATGCATGCGCCCATGACCCAGACTGTCCGAGGCTGGGTCAGGAGACCTTGTGGGAGCTGCCTGTTTCTCTGCCTTTTTCTCAGTCTCTCTTTCTCTCTCTCTCTTCCTCATGGAAGGAAGAAACAAACTTAAAAAAAAATCTACTAAAACAAAGATATGACATATGAATCTTTCACTTATTCAGAAAAGCTTCAATTGCCCCCACTGGCCGGGGGCACAGTGACATTCCTCAGCATTCCATTAAGACTGTTCACAGGGTGACTCCGTCTGCTGTCCCTGTATGTGCCCAGTGGCCACCACACCCTTACCTAACTCACCCACCCCGTCCTTCCCAGGGCATGCTGTGCCTTCGTCCTGGCTCAGGACTCCTGACCAGAGCCTCTCCCATCCTGGGAAACCTCATTCGCCCCTTATGCCTCACTCGAGCTCTGTGTCCAAGCCTTTCCAAGGGTTCTGGGCCAAACCTCTCACTGCCTCGTTTTCCCCCAAACCTTGCTTATGCTTCTGTTACTAATCAGGCCTGGTTTCGATGACACGAATGCACACTAACGCATCTATCCAGCTTCCCAGCTAGACGGCAAGGCTCTGACAGATACTCAGCCTGGGAGCCCCAGTGCCTAACAGAGGCCCTGACACACACCGCACTTACCTGTGAAATGCTTTATGAATTTGTCTTTTAAGTTCAAATCTCTTGGGAATATTTCTGAAAAAAAACAAAAAAATAAAAAACTTCAGCATTTCTGCAATGCACTTCCACCACTACACAATACCCTCAGCATGCGGCCGACACAGCAGTAAACACGTGCATGCACGGCACTCCCCGCGGCACCTGCCAAAGCGACCCCACACTGGCCACCCCGGGCTCCAGAACCCTGGCAGGCTGCCTGCTGCCCTCCTCTCCACGGGACCCTCCCAGGACCCTGAGAAGGGAGCACCCCTGCCCCAGGCCGCTTTCTGCCCTGCATTCCTTGGTCTCAGTGAGGGGCACCTCTCCTGACCCCTTCCTCAGAACTAAAGTCAGGAATCTGGGGCCAGGGCTGCGGCAGAGCAGTAAACGGGCACCCCACGAAGCTGGCCCTCCCAGGAAGGTCCCGGCACCCCTTCTGTGCTCTCCCTGAGTACTCGGGGCACAGCACACCCCTAACCAGGCTGAGACTGGGTGGGTCATGGCGTCCAGACCCTACCGGAGGTGCTCACTCTCCCTCTCTCCCTCACAGGAGAAATAAACTTTAAAAAAAGAAGCTACACTGGCTTCCTCTTTCCCACACCATTGATCCAACCCATGAGCTGGATTGAATCTCCCGTCTCCAAAACACGAGCACAGGCCCCGCGTGTCTCTCTGCATCCCCCACACGGCCAGTCGACCTCAGACAGCAGCACTGCACCTTGGCCGTGGCCTCCAGTGTCTGCTCCTCCCCAGAACCCTCTGCCCCACAGCAGTCAGAGTACGGCCCTTAAACTACAGTTAAAGAAATCAAACCATTGCTATGGCTCAAACTTAGCCTGAACTCACTAAAAAGCCTCCATCCAGAAAACGCAATTTATAAAAGCAATCGAGAGTATAGGCAGCCCTTACAGAGAAAAAAAAAGAAAAACTTTAATAAAATACTTGAGCCTTGGAGAGCCAGCAGGTGGCATGGTGGTTAAGACACTGGACTCCCACATGGCCAACCATGGTTCGAGTCCAAGATCTGGTGGCTTGAAAATTCATGCCAGATGGGAACCAGCAGTTAGCGTAATGGCTATGTCACTGGACTCCCACGTAGTCGACCGCGGTTCGTGTCCCGGACCCAGTGGCTTAAATCTCACACCGGGCGCGTGTGCGTGCGTGCCCAAGATCCCGAGAGGAGAATGGAGGAGAAGGGATTGCGGTGTGACCATCCCCCGTGGGGGGTGATTTCTCACTTTCTGTCTCTATGTCTCTCTCTGTCTGTCTGGCGAGCGCACGTGCCCTATAGCGAAAAAAGAAAATTCATGCCAGTCATGTATGCATGCATGCTAAAGATCCCAGCAGGAGAATGGAAGAGAAGGGACTGGGGCACAACCATTACCCCCCTCAGGTGTGATTTCTCACTTTCTCTCTCTGTCTCTCTGGAGAACACAGGAACCCTATGGGGGGGGGAATTAAACAAACAAATAACAACAACAACAAAAAAAACACTTGAACCTCAGATTTGTTGGCAGTTATACATTTAAGCCCACAGTGTTTTTTTATTGTAGATTGGCACCGATGTAAGTCCTACACAATATATATGTGACAGGGAAGGGAACCTGTCAACCCCTGTGGGTGAGTCCGAGCCATCGCCGTGGACTTCACTGAGACACATGTGAGATCTTAGCGGCCCTCCCCCCCAGGGGGTCGGGGAAGGGACAGCCTTTCAGCAGCTGCCCAGACTCCAGCAGCCCTGGGGGAGCTCAGGTCCTGACTGGGGTGGGGGGGGGGGGCCAGAGGGCAGCTCCTCTCCACTGTGACAGAGAGCACCTGCACTTTAGGAGCGGCCAGTACTGATCCAGAACCCCGAAAAACAAATCCGCAGTAGAAATCAAAGTATTTCTTCCCATAAATCTCTTCCTGTTCTCTTTAATATTCCAGCCTGATCGCGGATCTCTCTCCCACACCTCTCCCAGACAGCGGCAATCGGGCAGCCTCGGCACGGATGTCCGGGTGGTATTTGGCTGGTAGCTACGCTGGCACTTCTGAAATGACGAGCCTGCTAAGGGCAGTAGAATCCTACAGCCAAAGTGGATTCAAGGACTTGGAAAGCAATTCTGTATCCAAAAGCCTGTGACACTGTCGTCTCAGTCTGGAGGCCCTGGGACAAAGATGATGCTCAGGTCGGAGAAGAACCACCTATTTTAAGTTCACAACGCCCTTTTCTCCACCCATAATTCATTTCGCAAGCAGCTGTCCCCATTCCATTGAGCATGACAGTGTGCTGTGGCATGCCTGTCTCCACCATAAATGCTGGGCTTCCTTTTAAGAAGACAATCACGGGGAGTGAGTAAACCGGGAGATCTCAGCCAAGGATACAAACTCGCAGAGGTGGAAGGCGAGTAAGTCGGAGAGGGCCCCACGCGGACTGTACTCAATGGTGCTAGCTCGTATTTGGTACTGCAGTGGTGGCTCAGTGCCAGGGCACTGCCCTGCAATACTTCAGTTCATGTGGATCCGGGCTCAGTGCCAGGTCAACCTTACATGCCAGGTGCAGATGCGTGACTCTGCTCCTGGTGGGCTGGGGAGGTGGGGGAGGCAGGGAGGCAGGCAAGGCTGAGACTCTTTGCAGGGGACTCTATCTCATTCTCTTTCTTCCTCTCTTGTGAAATAAATAAATGCACTTTAAATATAATGACAAAATAATATTAACATTGTATTAGAACCAGAATAATTGCTAAGAAAGTAAATGTTATGTTTTTTTTTTTTTTAAGGGAGACTTTTCCTATAGAGAACATGTGCTTGCCAGATAGACAGAGAAAGACAGAGAGACAGAAAATGAGAAATCACCCCTCAGGGGGGATGGCCATGCCACAATCCCTTCTCCTCCATTTTCCTCTTGGGATCCTGGGCATGCATGCACACGTGCCCTACGTGAGTTTAAGCCACCGGATCCGGGACTCAAACCACGGTCGACTACATGGGATCACACACAGCGACATAGCCATTAAGCCAACTGCTGGTCCCCTGATTTTAGGTATTCTTACCATAAAAATGAAATCGGGTTACTGTAAGATGATGTATAGCTAATTTGCTTGATTATAATAATCATTTCACTATATATACATATACAGACACAGCACGAAGGGACACGCAGGGGCACGGTGGCCAAACTCAATGCTCTGTACGAAAACCCCCATGGGAAGGTTCCTGTTCAAATACAGAGACTTGAGTCCGCTACATTCCTGCACAACCTTGCCCAAGATCCCGGGCTGGCTAAGGCCTGGGTGGGAGGAGTCCCAGCACCAAGACCCTGTTGGGGTGCTGACTCTGTATCTTTCTTTCCAGAAGAAATAAACTTTAAAAAAAAAATGGTCTCTAGGCAATGCACTATCATTATCCTAGAACAACTTGAATAAACGATCATCTCATTCATCCAATTCGTGACAGTTTCTAGCTTTTATTTAACCAAAACAGCTGCCATCTGCCACTCTCATCAGTTTACAATGTCTTTAAAAGAAATAGGTTTACATATTTATGTGTGTGATATATATATATATATATTACATACATATATATGTATATATATGTGCAAGGATGCTTATCTCCCATTTCTATCTTATTAAAAATTGAGCAGAGATCAAGTGAAATAATAATTTAAAAATACCTATAACAGCACAACTAGAAAATCAAATAATAGGAAATGCCTCCTGCTCACTCCTGCCTGCATATAGCTTACCATAAAGATAATCCGTTCTGATAGGGTCTATGGACGTGGCCTACTTCAGTGAGCCCAGCCTTTGGGAAATACTGCGGGTCCCTGCAGTATGTCTCTCTCAAGCATTTGGGCACACACGCATACGCACCCGGCATGCGTTTAAGCCACCAGGCCTGGGACTCTAACCGTGATCGACTACATGGGAGTCCAACAACACAGCCATTACGTTAAATGCTGGTCCCAACAGATAATATTTTTAAAACACCACTTACTCCAGTTTATTCAGATCACTGAAAATTATTGAGGTGTGTTCAACCTTTTGTGATTTTATAAATAGCTTTTGAAAAAAATGAATTATCACTTCTTTTTAGTTCATTCTTCTTTCCCTCATAAATATCTTTGAAAGACAGAATCCACATCTTTTTTGTTTTGTTTTGTTTTTGCAATACCACATGTGTGCTCACCAGAGACAGAGAGAGAGAGTAAGAGTGAGAGTGGCCATCTCCCACTGGAGGAGATGGCCATGCCACAATCCCTCCTCCTCCATTCTCCTCCTGGGAATTTTGGCATGCACGCACATGTGCCTGGTATGATTTTCAAGCCACTGGGTCCAAGACTCAAACCCCAGTCAGTCATATGTGAGTCTAGCACCTTAACTACCCTGCCACCTGCTGGCCTCCAGAATCTACGTCTTAAAATTGAATACGGAATGCTTTCTTAGCTCTACACTGGTTTCAAGAATGATAACATATCTGGGGGCCGGTGGGTGGTGCAGTGGTTGAGGTGCTGGACTCCCACATGGCCGACTGGTTTGGGTCCCGGACCTGGCGACTTGCTTCCTCACTTTCCCTTTCTCTCTCTCTCTCTGGTCAGATTAAAAATAATAATAATAACAAATAAAATAAAGTAAATAATTTTTTAAAAAAGTTAAAAAATCTATCTTCTGTTGTGGTTCAATATGATGTTGTTTACATAAATATTTTATTGTTGAACAGTTTTAGACATACAGAAAAATTATGGAATACAGAGTTCCCATACATCCTACACTCAGTTTCTCCTGTGGTTACCAGCTCATAATAATGTCAGTTTTCTTTTTTTTTTAATTTTAAATTTACTTATTTTACATTCATTCATTGTATATCATTACAGCATATAAAACACAGTATACAAAAAGAGATTTTCCATCCAGAATACACTGCATATTAGCCCAATCAAGGATATGACCATACGTGTTATTGTCAGCCAATTTTCCATTTCTTGTTTCTTATATATTTTGCTTCTCTTTTTTCCCCTCCTCGATTCCCTACCTCTCATCCACTGATCTTTTCTTTTT